CCCCCCCCCTCTTCTTTTCTGGTCCCAGATCATGCTGCAGGACTTACCAGAGCAGGAGGAACTGCGCTCCTTCCCTGGACCTCTGGTGAAGTAAGCCCTGCCTTCCTATTCTCAGCAGGAACAATCCGCCTGGTTTAACATGGGGAGGCTACCTAGTATGTTTCACAGCCTTTGAGCCCTATAGCATATGCCAGAAGATCCTGGCTAGTTCTGTTAATCTTGAGGCCTGTGGGCATCCTGACTGGATGCTGGTGTGTGTCATGGTGGCATGCATACACCTAGTGCTGCCTGGCCAATCCCGGCAGAGCGTCATCTCCGTCTCTCCCTCCAGGGATGAGACGCACAAGGTGGACGTGATCAAGTTTGCCCACAACAAGTCTTTAGAGTGCCAGCGGGACGACGGCCTCATGGACAAGGACTCGGCCAGACTCATCTGGGATTTCATCATGCTGCTGTGCAGGCAGAACGGGGTCTGTGTCCGGCGTCTCTCCGGGGTTTACAGAAGCCGGGGCTTCAACCTGTACTCGCTCCCGCGACGCGTCGTGTCCGTTAGCCTAAGCCAAGTAGAGTGCGCTAGTGATTTCATTGCCCCATTATTGTTTATTCAAAGCTTCGCTTAGGTCAGGTCAAACTGTCACCTCAGCCATGTACATGTACACAGCAGAAGGAAATGATGTTCCTCATCTACCCATGCATTCATGACAGGGCAGACGTTACAGTGCTAATTTGCAGTCAATAAATTTAGATGGAGAGGTAGAGTCACTCAGTCGTTGTATAGCGGCATCTCCTGTCATCTGATGATTTGAGTAGCTTGTTTTTTTATTTTTTTTAAAGTCCACTGCAGTTTTGACATGAAGAATGTTAGACGTTTGCAATAGGCAGAGACTGTGTTTCTGTGACGCTCAGTGAATGTCTTGTTCTGTGACTGGTTTTCTCCTGCAGACGGTGGTGGGCACGGACATCGCAGACCTCTTGCTGCGGGAGCACAGGTCCGTGTGGCTGCCGGGGAAGTCGCCCAACGAGGCCAATCTGATCGACTTCACCAACGAGCCGCTGGAGCGTGCGGAAGACGAGCCGGGCTCGGGGCCGCTCTCGCTGCTTTCCGACACATTTATGACAGTGCCCGAGAACCCAGGCAAGGAGACCGAGCGCTTCCGGGAGCTTCTGCTCTTCGGCAGGAAGAAGGTGAGACCGCCCCCCTTCCCATGTCCCTTTCTGTACCTGCCTCTATCTCTGTGTCGGGGGAGGTCGGCTTATGGTGCGTTTCCAGTGACATACAGGAATGGAGCCTTGCACAGAAGAGAAACCTAGTTACAGCGCAGTTCCGGCATGGTTTTCCACTGCAGAGCAGTCAGCTCAGTACAGGCAGCAGTGCCGTAAGACTGAGGAGTTGCTTATCAGTTTTCACATCATGATTTACTGTGTGCTAATTTCCTAATTGTCTAGCACATCTGTGAGAATCGCTATGTTATGTCGGCATCAAACACTAGTGGAATTAGTATTCACTTGTGTGAATTTGCATTACAAATCCATTGTATTCAGCTGTTCCATAAAACTTTTTTTAAACAGGAGGCTGGAAATATTCAGGTTCCAAGTTATTTGGAATGCATCAATACATCAAGATGACTGATACAACTAATAAGAATAGCATATAGAATATGCCCTTTTTTCCTTCAGACAATCCATGTGCAGAACACCGGTATCTCTGTGCATTTTGACCCATCAGATGGTGACACAACCAGCTCGGTTTGGTCACACTTTCAGCCCTGATAGTAAGCAGGGTCCTGTCAGCGCGGGTACAGCTCGGGTATGGCTTGGGTTCTTTACAATGGAAAACCACCAGATTGCGGTACAGCTCGGGTACGGCTCAATTCTCGGTGGTAGTGGAAAAGCACCATTAGAGTCCAACATGAGTCTTTAGGGTTCAACGTAGGGCTACAAGAATGATTCCTGGTCTTAGAGGAATGTCTGAAGAGGAGAGGTTAGCTGAGCTGAGCTGAATTTGTTCTGCCTTGAGCAAAGGAGACTAAGGGGGGACATGATCCAGGTATATAAGGGTCTGGATGCTGTTCAGCCAAATGGATACTTCAATATTAATTTAAATACTAGAACTCGTGGCCATTGGTGGAAATTGACAGGAGAACATTTGAAAATGAATTTGAGAAAGCACGTCTTTAACTATACGCTGTGTAGAGTATGGAATAGTCTTCCTGCTAGTGTAGTGCAAGCGAAAACCCTGGGTTCCTTTAAATCAGAGCTAGATAACATTTTAACAACTCTGAGCTATTAGTTAAGTTCTCCCCAAACGAGCTTGATGGGCCGAATGGCCTCCTCTCATATGTAAATTTCTTATGTTCTTATGTTTAATTCCAGTATAAACTGCTGGTAGTTTTGAAGTATTTGCGCGTCATGCAGCCTTTTAGGGACTGTGTCTCGCCACGCTGTCCTGTACGGCTTCTCTGTTCTAATACAGCACTGGTCTTAATCTGAGGATGGGTCTAGATGTCTTTTATGACAGAACCGTCCTTGGTTAAATATTCTTAGTGCTCCTCTGAGAGATGTTCTGTTGCAGTTGCTTCACATAACCGGCCAGTGACTTGCAGGATGCTCCCTGTTGGCCCTGCTGCCCTCGTCTTGCTGTGAGAGAGCCTGTGCCAGTTAGCGGCACGCTAATAAGGCGCACTGCTTTGCTTTTAGGATGCGCTGGAGTCGGCCATGAAGAACGGCCTCTGGGGACATGCCCTCCTGCTCGCCAGCAAAATGGACAACAGGACGCACGCGCGTGTCATGACCAGGTAGGGCACCCTGGTCGTTTTTTGTTTTTATCCTGCATTTCAGATGCTTTTTTGTGGCCATCTTTAATGCAGATGCATCGCACCTTGGACTGACGGGCCGGTTGCTGCCTTTCACGCTGCCTGTGATCGTTATCGTTTCTCCTGTCTCTTCCTGCCTCCCAGGTTTGCCAACAGTCTTCCCATCAACGACCCGCTGCAGACGGTGTACCAGCTGATGTCTGGGAGGATGCCGGCTGCAGCCACGGTGAGTTAGGTCCCGCCGGTAATTCTGTGTCTGCTGGGTACTCTCTGTTCTGTTAACCCCTGCCACCCCTCCATAGTGCTGTGGAGATGAGAAATGGGGAGATTGGCGGCCCCACCTGGCTATGGTGCTTTCGAATCTCACGCACGCCCTGGACCTCGACATGCGCACCGTCGCCACCATGGGGGACACCCTGGGTAAGGCCCTTCCCCATCTTGTTCATTTGACCCTGGAGGACAGACTCCCCCTTTGGGTCTGGTTAGGGTTAGGGCTTCCTCTGCTGCCCCCTGGAGGACGGGCTCCCCCTTTGGGTCTGGTTAGGGTTAGGGCTTCCTCTGCTGCCCCCTACAGGACGGACTCCCCCTTTGGGTCTGGTTAGGGTTAGACTGTGATGTGTGACAGGAAAATGGCTGCTTTGTCTCAGGCTAAATCTGGGCCTGTTTTACCTTCAGCTTCCAAAGGGCTGATTGACGCAGCTCATTTCTGCTACATGATGGCCCAAGTCGGCCTGGGCGTTTACACCAAGAAGAGCACGAAGATGGTGCTGATTGGCTCCAACCACAGGTAAGCCCCTCATGGCATCCTTGCTAAACGGGCAGCACTTTTGTTTCTTAAAGATTTGTAGAGGTGCATGGTGTCCATTTATACAGCTGGATGCCTCTTGGTCGCTCAGCATCAGTCCCTATCGGACCCTTTGACGCCTCAGCAGCTTTGACGCTGCACATGGTCTCAGAATTCTGAGTTTCATTCTCCTCAGCTCTCATCATACATGCTTCTTCACTGGTTTCTCTTTGCCCCCCCAGCTTGCCGTTCTTCAGGTTTGCCTCCAATGAAGCAATCCAGCGGACAGAGGCCTACGAGTACTCCCAGTCCCTTGGCTCTCAGCCTTGCTCGCTGCCCAACTTCCAGGTGCCCGGTGCCTTTCTCACGATCGTCCAACATATGGATCTATGGATGGCTCCTACAATGCAGACTCAGCTGCCTGCACAAAAATCTGTTGCTCCTTGACGAATGCAGTCTTCAGCAAACTTAAACTTTAAAGACTAAACCTCATAAAAGATTTGAGGGTTACTCATAGTGAAATTGCTGCCCGTTTATGTCTGACATGACCCCTGACCTTTGACCTCTGCTCTTCCTGTTCACCCTGCAGGTCTACAAGTTCCTGTATGCCTGCAGGCTCGCTGAGGCTGGGCTCTGTGCGCAGGCCTTGCATTACTGTGAGGTCATCTCCAAGGCCGTGCTCAGCATGCCCTCTTACTACTCCCCGGTGTTCATCGGCCAGCTAATTCAGGTAGGCACACCTCGGACAGACGCTCTGCTCACACCGGCCTGCGACGTCGCAGTCAAACCCTGAAGACCTTCAGGTGTAAACTTTGTACTGGTATTGGCATTCCCTTGTTTTTTGACAAATACTTGATTTGGGGGCGGTGTTCCATGAAGCTGGATTTCTCAGTTAACTTGGCTAACTTGAGCTAGAAGTCATGATTGTCCAATGGGAATGATTCTTTCTTTCTTGTTGGTGTCGCTGAAGTACCTGTTGGACTCGCACACATTGGACTGACGGTCCTGTCCTACTTGGGATAGCCTGTAGGCCTCCTATGACCCTAAGCAGTATAAGCAATTCGGACTTGGATGGATGGTTAAATGGTTTAACGCTGAGGTTCTGCCACTGACCGCTGTCTCCCTGCTCTCACAGATGTCCATCAAGCTGCGCTTCTTCGACCCGCAGCTGAAGGAGAAGCCGGAGCAGGAGCTCTTCGTGGAGTCTGGCTGGCTGGTCCGGCTGCGGCATCTAGATGGCCAGATCAGGGTGGGTGTCGGTGCCAGAATCCGCACTCTGCGGACTTTAGCCGTCATCTGCATACATAACCACTGTGGGAGAGACTCTGGCCTCCTTGTGTTATCAGCCCTGATCCTTTCTGGCTGCCGTGCGCACATGTTTTCATTCCGCCTCGTGTTTTTAATTATCACGCTAATTAAACGAGGTTAGCCTTGTATCTGGGTTCTGAGGTTGTTTAGTAGATAAGCCAGATAAGATTTAAAAACAGCCAGCCTCTCTCTCTCCTCCTGAGTGTTGCTCCACTGGCGTCTTAATCACGAGTTCAGACCCGTAATACCGCACACATGTATGTGCTCGTCATTCTGTCCAGTGAATGTGTTTGCCCACTCTGCTCCCTGCAGGACGGGATGATTTCTTACAGCTCGGGCAGGGAGACCCCCCAGCAGTATGCCTGCAGCACACCCAGCTCGGAGTTCGACCATCCGTCCCCCCCCGACCCTATGGGCATGCCCATGGACAGCTCGGCCAATCCGGACAATGCGCTCATGACGTCACTGCTGCCGAACCCAGGGCCGCCCCTGTCTGGGGTGCAGCTCATGCCGCCAGGTGTGTCTGTGTCTGTCAGCTTGTCTGTCTTTCTCTGTGTCTGCCTGCCTGTGTCTGTCTTTCTCTGTGTCTGCCTGCCTGTGTCTGTCTNTGTCTGTCTTTCTCTGTGTCTGCCTGCCTGTGTCTGTCTTTCTCTGTGTCTGCCTGCCTGTGTCTGTCTCCACTGTGGAGATGCAGTGTGTTTCTCTTGTATGGTAATATGTTGTCTGGCTTGCCAGCCCCTAACCTACATGTACCCCTGGCCTTTCTCCCAGCGCCCCCCACCATCCTGGCTGATAGCGTGGCTTCCGTACCCCCGGCTCTACAAGTTGGCGATGGGGTCCAGTTCTACCCCGTTCCGCCCAGCCATCTTTGTCCAGTTCCTGGCCCTGTACCTCCCCCACAAACCCAGATGTCTGGAGCTGTGCCCCCCACCCCTGTCTATGCCCCGCCCTACTCAATGGAGCAGACGTACCCTGTTCTTCCAGCACCCTCGCAGATTTCCCACGTAGAGTCACCCCCTTCGCCCCTGGGGCAGCATGTCCCCCCCCAGACCTCATCACAGCCAGCCTCCCCCTCCAGGAGCAGCTTCACCCCCCAGATGGACTTCTATGACAAGATGGAAGTCATGGTGAGCAGTAGGTTTCTGTTATCCCGGGGTGCTTGGCGGCCATCTTGGCTTTAGGGCTTGCGTGTGTTAAAGAGCGACGCGTCTGCCTTTGTGTCTGACCAGGGTCCTGGAAGAAGGTCAAGAACAACTTCACAGTCCTCAATGCATACGGTAGGGTATGCATTATTTACGGACCATCCTATACTTTCTCTCTTACAAGGTCCATCTGATGTTCCCGTTGATCTTTAACCTTTCTCTGGCCTCTAGCCCGTCCTCGGATCCACACTCCCTGCCAAATGTCTTTCCCGCACTTGCTGTACCTTTCAGACCCCCCCTCTCTGAAACATGCGTGCTCTGTTATCACACAGGGTCAGGGGCGGCGCTCACGCACCACCTCCGAGTCGTCCACCCATTCTACGGGACGGGAGAGGAGCAACTCCATGGCCAAGCCGTCCCTGCCCACCCCTGAGCCCATTCCGGAACAGCCCCCCCACCAGGATGCACCTAAGAAGCAAAAAAAGGAGTCTCCTAAAAAGGTGCCGGAAGCCGGCCATGCGGTGAAGATGAAGCCCTCTGTCTGACAGACACTGACGCATGATTACTCACAGAGCTGATTAGCATAATATGCTAAAAATAACAGGACTTTCTTTGTCTACACAAATGTTAGGAAGTCTGACGTAAGTTCTCAAAAATGTATTAGATATCTGGCACAAGACCAGTATTTGTGAATCAAATGTTAACTCTTAATCGGGAACATTAGTTTGAACACTGTATACGAAAAATGTGTATTTAATAGTATATATTAGTTTTTCCCAACCTAGTGCTTGGGGACCACCAGACAGGCCACATTTTTGCTCTTGCCCATCTCCCAGCACACCGAAACCAAGTATTTCGTGTTCATGATTGGCTGGGAGCTGGGAGGAAGCAAAAATATGGGCTGTCTGGGGGTCCCCAAGCACCGGGTTGATGGTATGTAGTTTTTTGTGTAGTGTAGTTTACTGTACAGTACAGTGGGAGTAAACGAACCTATGAAGAGTGGACGTCGGGCGTCCGGGCCGGTGGGGGCGTCCGGGCCGGTGGGGGCGTCCGGGCCGGTGGGGGCGTCGGGCGTCCGGGCCGGTGGGGACGTCGGGCGTCCGGGCCGGTGGGGACGTCCAGGCCGGTGGGGATGCCGGGATGTACGGGCCAGTATTGATCGGGGTTCCTGGGTCTTTCCAGGGAAGCGGCAGTGGGTGGCTGGGCTGGTTCTATCGGAATAGAAGGAATGAGGCCCATCTGCCGGATGACAAAAACAAATCGGTGAGAAGTCGGTCTTACAGCCGCTGTGGATGCTTCACAAGTGCTGTAGTCGTAAAATATAAGGAGAAAGCTTTGGAAAGTAGCGTATTTGTTTGCTCAGAACCTACGTATGAATTGTGTCACAGTCAGGTTTAAGGAGACAGTACACAAGCGTTTGAGTCAGCGACATTGAATTTCTATTATCATTCTTAATGCAGCCTTTCCATATCTGTGTATCATTAAGAAATTGATATCCTTTCACGTTCAGTTTAACTTAGAAATCTAATATTTTTAACAGATAGTCTGGGATCCTCAGAAGAAGCGATGGGTGAACATGGACGAACCTGAGGAGGAGGTATTTAATATATCGATGTTGGATGCATGTTGTGATTAAAGGCTGTTCACTTCCTTCTAGAATTTTGACGTGTTGGTGTTGACATTTTTTTTTTCCCCTTTCCGCAGAACAAACCACTGCCGCCCCCCCCATCCAGCTTCCCCAAAATGGCCCCCCTGGCAGCGCCTGGGGGTGCAGCTGGGCCGCCAAGTGGTGGACCACAAGTCAACATGTTTTCCAGAAAAGCAGGTGAGTGTCTTAATTTTGGTGTGGGAAGACAGGGGAGGGTCTCTCTCTAGGAAGAGGAGTGCTAGATTCTTCCATTAATTTCCCCTCTGCTGTTTCTCTGGGCTCTAAGCCTGCTCAGTCAGGGTGGGGGGTGGGTGGGGTCCTGTAACCTGAGAACCCTTCGCTGCTTCTTTCCACTGACCTATTAACTGTCGCAGGCACCAAGAGTAGGTATGTGGATTTCCTGAACCCAGGGGGTACCAGCAGCAAGCCTGCAAGTTCTGTTCCCGTTCCAGCAGACCTCTTCGCACCCCTGGCCCCCATGCCCATGCCCGCCAACGTCTTTGTACCTGGTGCAGGTCAGTTGGTGCTTAATTGACGTAGGAGATGGTTTGAGGATAGACCAAGAATTGCGCCAGAAGAGAGACTGATATCTGCAATTGAAACTGAAAGTGAAATTATATGACGTGTCCCACCCCTCCCCCCATGCAGCCCCCGATGAGCAGCAGCCTTTAGAGGGCAGTGTGCCAGAGGCGAGTCAGCCTCCAGGTCAAAGCCTTCCCAGTTCTAGTGCAGCACCACAGGTGAGGTCACCATCATCATAGAGGCAGATCTGGGTCACTGTGTAGGCGGAGCACCACCGCTGCATGACACAGATCCCATTTTTACCTCATTTTAGAAATGTGTATCTTCTCTGGTCCGTAAATAACACATATTTGACTTGGTTCCCAGATGACTAAGCAGACACTTTACCCTCCTGGCCAGGAGGGGGCACCTGTCATTGAAGGGACTCAATCCGGGGAGGTAACGTGCCACCCAGACATTTCTTGGAGCCGCTTTACTCATCTGGCCATCCTGCTCACATCTACCACTGAAATATACAGTAGACCGATTCACTGTTAGGGCATCCACTCATCTAGGCTGCATCATTTTCATAGCTGGAACAGACCATTAACACTTGCATGTAAAATGTTGACTGTTACTTAATGATACATTACTTAATCATGTTTCTGTGTGTTTCAGCTTGACCTCATCAAATGTTTTAATGGAATCTTAGATACCTGTTAAACATCTACATTCAAAATCTGTTTATTGATTGATGTTTACCCAGATGTTATTCTGGACGTTTTGGATTGATTCCAAAGTGCCATGCTAGCTGGCTTGCCTCAGTTAGGCTTCTCTGCTAATCCTGACTTTCTGCATTGATTTCCTGCTTCTTGTATGTCTGCAGTAAGGATCATTGTACTGGTGTGTTCTTTAGCAGAAAGATGTCATTTGAGAATTGTAGTGGTCAGGGAAACCTTCCTGGCTTTAGACGGCAAAGGCTGTCTTTCCCAAGAGCAGGCAGGTAGAGAGAGAGATAAAGGAGGGATATAATCTATTGATTCCAAGAGGAAAATTGGTCTGTTGTTCTTCAGATGTTATCTTTCTGAAGTGGAGTTTCATCAGTTGGACAACAACTACTAGCCCGTGTCTAATCAACACCTGCAGACCTGCTTCTTGCAAGCTCCAAACTAAAGTAGCTATCCAAGAAGCCTTAACTCTAGGCAGTGCTGTTAGATTAGTGTGACATGTATAGCGGCCATGTGCTTGGCAGGATGTCCTAGGAATTGCGCGCCCTTGCCTTTGGAGGCCCTGCCTTGTGGGCGTGATTTGCTAGATTGCATGTCTTGATGTCCGTTGGGTTTCTCCATATTGTCGTGTTCATCACAGGATGAAAACTAGAGCCAAATTGGCACTTTGGAATCAGTCTGCTCTGGATATGAAAATATTGAATATTGTAAATATGTCACATATAGAGCCTGACTTGTCAATTTAGACACTGAGACAGAATACTATAGAATACATTTTAATACAGAACACTTAATTGGCTATGTGCTGTTCATAGTGATGACCTGTGCTTGTTGCTGGTTACCTGAAGGTCGGGTTTGTGTCTCTCTCCCCCCCCCACCCCCCTTGCACTTCCCGGCCCTGACACACCATCCCCCAACCCTTGCCCACCTTCCCAACCCTAAAAACCCATCCCAAAGAAGAGCCTATGGGCTGACACGTGCATGTATTAATTTTGGCTTGTCGTCTGTTTCTGTTCGTTTGTTTATCCTTGCCGTTTTAGCTCTCGCGTTCTAGCTCAATGAGTTCTTTATCACGTGAAGTGAGTCAGCATTTGAACCAGGTACATCCAGCAGGACGTCCTCTGCCGCCCACCCCTGCTCCCGCCCCCAAATTCCTACATGTGTCATGCTAAGTCTGCAGTCCTTACATGTCTGCATCCTCTGTCTCCAGCAAGGGTCTGTCCATGCTGAATAGGCCAGACTGTCCACTTTCTAGCTTGGCAAAATCACTCCAGGCTTGAATTTGCAATGGATTTATGCTAAGTAGGGAAGGCTGTGGTTCTGGGGTCACCTTAACCCCTTCGTGCTCTTGCATTGGACCTTTTGTCTGTCGGTCTTGGCATGAGTTCATAGGGATGCAGGCTGAAAAGTCTCATTATTGCACTGCTGGAGACAGAGGCCCCGAAGCCGCTGTCCTTGTCACCCTACTCATACAGCCGTGTGCCCGTCTGCATTAACCCCTTAACGCTCCGCATGCTTCCGTTAACATTAGTGGGCATGACATCCATCGAGCCGCCTTTTCATCTACCACACCGTGCTGGGATGGGAGGAACGTTGCTGAGCTCTTAGGGGTTCATCCAATCCGCGGCCCCCCTCCTCATTTACTTCATAGACCTGAGTAAAAACGAGGAGCTCTTTGGGTGGAAGCTAAACTGACCCGCGGTTTGGATTTTATGGGGGGAAAAAATCAAGTTCCCAAGAAATTTGATTTCTGGTTCTTGGTCACCGTGGTAACTTCTGGTTCCAACAGGTTCCCACCCAAACACCAGTTCAGGGTGGGCCGTCGTCTGGAGGCGTGACTTTCTACAACCCCACTCAGTTTGCACAGGTATGTTTTGGTGTCTGATGTTGTATTGTAAAATTTGTGGGAATCTGATGGGTTGTGGTTCTTTAACTTAGAACGCCTCAGTCTTCATGGTGTCATCTAAAATGAAGATGCATTTTGTTGTCATCACAACATAGCAGATATGATCAGTGGACATGTTGGCAAGGGGTTGGGGGCTGGAAATATACCCCCAGACCTATATATAAGCTACACTCAGTTAACAACTGTTTATTCTTAAGTAGAATATTCTGGCAATAATTGCGTTAAACGAGCATACTAAAAGCAGTAGTTGCCTAAATTTCAGCCAAGTACAAATATTAACTGAAAATAATATTAAGCTGTGATGTAAGTAAAACTAAAGTTGCTGTCACTGTGTCAGTGCATGAAGCATAAATTAAATGTGGTCATACTATCAATTTTTCCAGTTTGACGTTATTGGAATAGACTCCATGATGCAGATGAATAGAATGCTTGTCAGTGTTATATTCGTATGTGTCAGATTTGTAAGCTTTGGCTCATTTGTATTCTCCCCTCGCCAACCCACAGCCAAGCGCCTCCACAGGCGCAGCCAAACAGGGTCGTTTTGGCCAGAGGAAATATCTAGCGATGAAGTAGAGGTCGACAACTTCAGAAGAAGGACCCGTCTAGATCTGTGGCAGGATCTCTCCTGCTGAGATGGTCAGTTTTTCCAGAATTAGGACAAGAAGATGCATTAAGTTCATCTGCTGTCACAACCAGTGAGCAATGCTGATGCAGAACGGCTACCACCAAATCCACAGCGCCTCTATTCTCCCTCAGCCCTAAATCATTATTGCTGGATTTAACCTCGACTCATTTGCTATGTGAAGTATGTAGCTTGAGGTCCAGCTCAAAAGATTATCTTATATCCAACTGGAACTAGGAGTGGCACAGTGATCTTGGAGACAAATTATCGAAAACTGCCTTGATTTTAGGGTAGCAAATCGCTACTACAGATGCATCTGGCCTTGGCTGTCTAATGAAGTTGAAAAAGACAATAATCAAAATGTAGTGCCCTGACTATGACGAGTAGAAATTCAGGAAGAGTGGAACCTCTGTCATTCACGCCTCCTATTTCTGTTGTTTCCTACATTAATGTCACTGAGCTCATGCGTCATATTTCTGTGTCTCATTTAAAAGATCTCAGACCAAATCAGTTTGTCCAAAACCCCCTGGTACTTGTGTTGAGCTTGTGATCCTATGCTGAGAAGGAGCTGTCAAACTCTCTTCCAGAGCTGAACTGTGTGATTTTTTTTTTTTCTTTTTTCTTTTCTTTTTTTTTTTTTTAAGTGCAATATTAACCTTTTGTTTTTCTTGTCACCTATTTTCAGTAAGATTTCTTGATGGGACAACAGCCTGAATTTAGTCTAGTCTACCTAAGTGGTCTTGGAGTGATGGAAGGTTATTTTAAGATATTTATTGGATTGCCAGCCCAACATCTAGCTATCAGTAGCCATGGTCTTAATTTCTCAATAATAGCATGTTGGAATCCAACTCTTATGTCTTCGAGGAACTGAGTGAATGATTTCTACAGCAGTTTTAGGATTGGTCACCATTTTTAATTGTCACGTGTATCCAAATAATTTGTATATCTGTTCAGATTGTATTTATGACCTCTAGTCAAAAGTGTGCAAAGCAACTAATATTTCTAATTTATCCATTGTATGCCGTAGATTTGCCATTCTAATCAGTTATAGTAAGCGCTTCAGTGTATGAATCATGGAAACAATTGGAGTGATAAGCGATGGAGATCTTGCTCTGACTACAGTCATCCACCTTTTTTTTTTTTTTCCTTTAACTGTTGTGATTATTTCCCCGAATTCATATTTAATGTATGCAGAATCCTTTTAATGTAGTTCCCAAGCTCTTTCTACATAGACCACTGAATACTTTTGACATAAAGTCCTTCATTTGAAGGAGCCCTGTTGTGTTTCAAAATTGACACTGTAAAATTCTTGGGCAGAATACAAAATGAATAAAATATTTTTGCGCTCTTGATTATTTTGGTTGATTTGTGTGTCAGACTCTGAATGTCAGGTCCAGCCTTGTCACACCAGACCTCAAATGCTTACGCATCTGGCGTGACCCGATTTCAGAGTCTCACGCTCACACACGATGAGATGGCTTGGGCATCTGGTCAAGATGCCTCCTGGACGCCTCCCTGGTGAGGTGTTCCGAGCATGTCCCACTGGGAGGAGGCCCCAGGGAAGACCCAGGACACGCTGGAGGGACTATGTCTCTTGGCTGGCCTGGGAACGCCTCGGGATTCCCCCAGAGGAGCTGGATGAAGTGGCTGGGGAGAGGGAAGTCTGGGTTTCCCTGCTGAGACTGCTGTCCTCACAACCCGACCCGGAAAAGCGGTATAGGATGGATGGATGGATGAATTACATTAAAAGTGTTGGGGTACTTTGCAAACAGTACATTTACCATATAACAACATTACATGCATGTAAACACGTGTGCATGTGTGTGTTCAGACTTCAATCGAAATCTCGCTGACCAAAGTTTCCAACCCTGTGTCTGTTAATTCTGAATTTTTCCCGTAACAGATTGAGAGAAGTTGAAAGGACCCTGTAATTTTAACTAAGGTATACTTTGGCGGGGTTTTACACAAACACGACTTTATTTAACTTGTACTGTTGATTATATTATTTCGAATAGCAATTTCAGTTGGGTTAGGAATCACGTTGCTCCTCCACTAGAAAGGGGGCGCTGTGTAAACCCCGAAGAGCGCTTCCGGCACTGCCGATGCCTCTCCTTGGTAACGATTGCTCCCGTTGCTAAGGAAGTGATTCATTTGCGATCTATGTATCATCTAAAGCAAAACAAAACAAGCAGTCTATTGTTTGATTTGTAGAATAGCGTGCTAATATTACTCCCATTTGAATGAACAACACATGTAATTAGGCGCTTCCTTAACACGAACTTTTGGTAAGCGGTAATAAATCGGCTCTAAATTAAGCGGACAAAAAGGGCATTTAAATAACCGGCTGCTATTAGTTTTCGTAAGGGGAAAACACGACTATTTGTTAATAACGAATCAATGTACTCGTCTATTATTTATTTATACCAAGTTAACAAAGCCGCTTGTTGCGTTTGTAACGTTAGATTTAGGTCTCCCTTTCTTTCTCTCGCTCTCGAGTACGCTGCCAAGCTAACTGTAATGGAACATAGCTAGCCGGCTCTGAAACACAGAGTTGATATTACACATGTGGTTTTAGACTTTCTTTTATCTGAATGGTTAATTACAAATAGTAACCGAATTATCCAAATGCATGCATAATGTATAACATTTATTGATTAGGGAAGCCATTTTTCGTATAGTTAATTAACTCTTAAATTGATTAAATTGTTTGTTTTTTAACGGTAATCAGGTCTAAATGTCGTGTGCATGGCCCTAATAATGCCGTGCATTTTCAAAGCATTTAACGCCAACTTTCACTTATTTTGATTATTTTAGTTAAAGCTATTTATGATGTTTGCACATATTTAACTATTGTCCTTTTATAGTACACATTTACTATTAGTAGCCTACCGTATTAACAGTTGATGAGTCGTCGCTCTGAAACAGCAACCAATGATGCCGCGTTATCACCTTCCTGCTGCGAAAAATGTGCATAGGCTGTAGTATTATTATGAGTAATTTCTAACGGGGCTGCGAGGTGCTGGAGATGAGAATGAACACTTTGAATGGAGTATGGTCAGGAGGAACACCCGAAGGGGAGGGCACTGGAAGACTGAGCAGTGGGCAGCGGTCTGAGAAATCTTGCACAGATGATGAGGAGACTTTCAATGACACCCTTCGCTTCCCTGCTGATGAGGTGGACAGAGGAGGTAATGCCAACTCTTCTTCACCACTACATCACCATCTCCCAAAGCCGCCCAGTCTAATGAAAACCAGTAAGAACTCATCACTGGAAGCCAATGTGAAGAGAAGGAGAATAAAACCCCTCAAAACAAGCCAAGAGAGTTTGACAGACCGGACAGGGACCGGATCTTCATCAGATTCCCTTCAGGATGATGTCTTGGGCCCACCTGCTTTTGATGGCTCTGCTCGGTCTCCAAGCAGACAGTGGTCCATAGATGGGAGCCTCACGGACACGCCAGTCAGCGTCTGCCCGGCCAGAGACCGTGGGGGCAGCTTGTCAGAACCTGACAAAAAGAGCTTCAAAAGCTGTGAACCAATATCGAACAGCGCTGCCTCCTCCAAGATCCGCCTGTCTCCGATACATCCTTCAGGGCCCATGCCTGCGGTGGAGCTCTGCACTGCTTCCACATCCTTAAGAACAGCTAATCGCATTGACAGGGATTGTGTGGATTATGGCGACACAAGGAGAGCAGGACCAGAGCGCCTGCATAGGAACCTCAGTGACAGCCGCTTACTGGAGACCATGGTGTCTGATAACACCTCCCTCAACTCCATGAAGTCCACCTCCAGTGTGCTCAACCCCATCCGACCCAGGGACGTAAGAAACAGGTAGGCCTAAAGATTTTTTTATGGCAGGTTTGTTAAAGCTTTTGCCACTCAGTGTAATCCCTGGTGCTTAATGTAGTGCCCTTACATCATTTGTGGAAGTTTTAAACTTGTATAATTTCAGTTTCCTTTTGGTAGGAAACTGAACAGGCTGTATTTCTTCTTGAAATGTGTAGAATCAAACACTTAAGGAATTTGTTCATTTGTACTATAGAACTAGTGCTGAGCAGAGCTTCATACTTGTACGTATACATGAAGATGTATGAAAGGCAGCTTTCAGTCTAGAAAGTAGTCATCCAAGATAACCAGGGGCTCAATTGTGGGGTTTAATTCTGATTCATTCACAGTAAAATGTGGACAAAGAAATGACTGAGGATTGTGCAGCAGTGTCATCCTGGTCAAAATGTTTTCTTTTCTGAGTCTTTGCCTCTCACACTATGCTGTGTTCATTTAGGAGCTTTCTGGAGGGTAGTGTTTTAGGACACGGTGCACTGCTTGGGGCAGACGAACTGGACCGATATTTTCCAGAAAGGCGACTGGGAATTTACATCGTCACTTGGAACATGCAAGGGGAGAAGGTGAGCCAGGTTTTCACAAGGTCTGTCCTTCTAAGAACAACTACAATACCTAGGAAATGAATGATATCATCTCAGTATGTTCTGGTCCACAGGAGCTCCCAGCAGATCTGGATGACCTTTTGCTCCCTACAGACTCAGAATTTGCTCAAGACTTTTACGTTATTGGAGTCCAGGAGGGCTGTGCTGACAGGTGCTGTAATACATTAACTGTTTTGCAGCCGTTAAAAGTGATTTTTAACATTATGCAAAGATATCCAGAGTTAAAGTGGCAGATGTTTTTGAATTGTGGCTTATGTGTGTGTATTTCTGTCTAAGCAGGAGAGAATGGGAAACCCGTCTTCAGGAAACACTGGGGCCTTACTATGTCATGCTGAATGCAGCCACTCACGGGGTGCTTTACCTTTCTGTCTTTATTAGAAGGGACCTCATCTGGTTTTGTTCAGGTGCGAGTCAGAAAGCCACCAAATTGCAGTGTGCCAGTGAAGCAGCTCTCTGTACTGAAGTTTCCATGTTGTGACCATGTCCCATGGCAGAGGTGGAACACGCCACAGTCACCACACGCATCATCTCCCAGATCAAGACCAAGGGCGCTGTCGGAATCTGCCTGACCTTCTTCGGCACCTCGTTCCTCTTCATTACCTCCCACTTCACCTGTGAGTGTGATTTCCTGGTCCCAAGGCGTGATGCTGTCACATGGTCCGCAGACACATTTCTCAGAGCCAGATTCCTGCATAATATTCTGTAGACATGTCATCAAAATTGTCACATGTATCCTACATTGCATTAACCCGTCTAATCCCAACAATTTCCCTGCCATGAGGGAGCATGAAGGAATTTAACTGCACTGGTCATGTGACCATTGCACTAATGACGTAACATTGCAAATATACCATCTGGCCAGCCTTTGCTTTTATCTACAGGAAGTCTTTTGGGCGCACAGACAACAATGTCTTTTTAGAGCTTAAAAAATTACAAAATAATGTGGTGACAGTTGTGGCCTAACATTAAACGGGTTGGGGTTAAGTGTAATATGTAGGGACTTTGTTTATGATCTAAACTCTGCCTGTTCTGTTCTGTTTTAGCTGGAGATACCAAAGTATATGAGAGAATCCTGGACTATAACAAGATCATCGAAGCCCTTGCCCTTCCCAGAAGCCTTCCTGACACCAACCCGTATCGCTCCACTTCCTGTGAGTACGACAGGATCCCAGGTTAACCCGTCATGACGGGTCTTCTGTGAGGATTAACACCGCGTTCTAATTTTTGCAGCGGATGTGACGACTAGATTTGACGAAGTGTTCTGGTTTGGGGACTTCAACTTCCGTCTGGAAAAGGACCGTGAGGGAGTGGAAGCCATCCTGAGAGAGCTGGAATCGGACCTGGCTCCACTGCTGCAGTACGACCAGCTCGCTAAGGAAATGCGGGATGGTATGTTTGCTCATTAGCGTAGACGTACAGTATAGGAATCCGCGTGCGGGACATTGCCTTCTGAGAAAGAGACATTAGCATGGTTTTGTTCCATGGAAATTTACGTTATTATGTAATTAAGCTTCATCATTCGGGATTCATTACTGTTAATCACTGTTCAGCATCTAATTTTCCATGAGAAGTACAACCCTGTTCCCAAAAAAGTAAACACTGTGTAAAATGTAATTAAACGGAATGCCACGATTTGCAAATCATATAAACCCATATTTACTTGAAAATAGATAAAAAGACAACAAATCATCTGTTGAAACACTGAGATTTTGTTGTTTTGTAACAAATATATGGTCAATTTGAATTTGATGCCAGCAACACATTTAAAAAAAACTGGGACGGGGCAACAAAACACTGGAAAAGTTGTGTGATGCTAAAACAAAAAACCTGGTTCAATATCTAACTAATTAGGTTAATTAGCAACCGGTCAGTAAGATGATTGGGCATAAGAAGAACCTCCCAGAGAGACTGTCTCTGTGCAGTGAAGATGGGGAGAGGAGAATATGCGAGCACGGAGAATATGCACGCACGGAAAATATGCGAGCACGGGACAATATGCGAGCACGGAGAATATGCGAGCACGGAGAATATGCGAGCACGGGACAATATGCGAACACGGAGAATATGCGAGCACGGACAATATGCGAGCACGGAGAATATGCGAACACGGACAATATGCGAGCACGGAGAATATGCGAGCACGGAGAATATGCAGCCTCTGCCTGCACAGCCCTTGTTTCATGTTTACCTTTTTTTAATCACCTCATCTGAAAAGTTCACAACCACTTTATGATTTCACTAATTGTCGAATTAAAGATCACGACCGGTGTGCAAAGACAAAGAGAATAATTCAAGGTGGCCTTGATCCAGTCTGTTAGAGTGCAGTGAATGGCTATTAAATGGACTAACATGAAGCTCTTCCTGCTCTGCTGTAGGTTCCATCTTTAAAGGATTCCAGGAAGCACCAATAAGCTTCCTGCCCACCTACAAGTTTGATGTTGGCTGTGATGTTTACGATACAACCTCAAAGAAACGAATTCCCTCCTATACGGTAAGTGGTGTAATATTCCTGTCTTAAGGGGTGCCACTAATTATTTATTCCTCTGTGCTGCACTTTGGTCTATAAGGTTGTTTAAAGTGCTTTACAAATAAAGCTGGATTGGATTGGATTGATAATCAACCGTTATCAATCCAACCGTAATCTCCCATTTTGTCCAACAGCCAGTGAAACTGAAAGGTCAGCCCCTCTCACACCGCACCTGATTGGTTGAACTACGCAAATTCATGGGTTAAAGTTCAATTAAGATGAACAGGGCACAAAAATCGCTCCCCAAAATCGCTTTGCTGCAGGAAGTGAAGAATCTGATTTTCGCGTCACGCAGCTATAGTGGAAGTGAATGAGATGCCAGTGCGGCTTCACCTTTACTTATTCCTGGGGCATCACATGTGCTGTTTTTCATTCTACAGTATATTTCTTCGGCTCGCTGATAATGTTTTATCTCCAAGGAGACGTCTCTGTCCGGAGATAGTCTGTAGTGACCCCATGTCTGTTCCACCTCGTTTTCCTTGGTGTAGGATCGTGTTCTGTTCCGGAGCAGGCAAAAGGACGATATAACTGTAGTGAAGTACAGCTGCTGTTCATCCATCAGGACATCGGATCATCGCCCTGTCGTCGGGATTTTCCAGGTCAAACTTCGCCCTGGTAGAGACAAGTGAGTAACTGAACCACATCTTCTACATAGCAGGAGGACGTAGATTTATGGGGCTGAGGATGTTATTTTGTGTCTAAGCGTTTGTGCATCCAGCATCCACCATAGATACCTAAGCACTTTCCGGCTGGTTCCCCCGTCTTCTTCCAGCATTCCGCTTGGGGCTGGCCAGTTCGACAGGGAGCTCTACCTGGAGGGCATCCGGAGGAGGATCAGCAGGGAGCTGAAGAGGAGGGAGGCCATGAAGAGCCAGAAAAACAGCACCGTCTGCTCCATCTCCTGAGCAGAGGGACCGGAGTGACCCCGCATGAGGAGGATCGGCATATCGGAGGCGTAAGAGAGCAGCAGAGCTCCTCAGCCATGGAGGCCGCAAAGGAAGAGAGACTGTTCAGTGAGGACAGCAGAAGCCAGAGACCAAAGGACCTTGGTATTTGGAAGAGCTGGTCCTCTGCTTACACTGCCAGCCGACCTTTGCGGCTCACTCCTCCGCAGAACTGCTTCAACCTCAATGTCATCTTATTAACTTCCATTAGGATGACCAGGTAGTCCATGTCAGGGGACACTTTGAGCTGCTTCGCGTTTAACAAACTGTTTTAAAACTGAAAGGCTCCTTTGCTTGGCTAATTAGTTCTGGTCTTCTTGTGCTTTGACTGGTTTGTTTCCTTGATTGAAAGTCTCATCCAGCGGTTTCATATTAACATTAGTGGCACATGCAGGAATATAGGAGACTGACCAATCAGCACACAGCAAGGACTCAGTGCATAAGTGAAATCCAGGTCTTTTTGATTGAAAAGGTAGCTTACAAACCCTGTCCCAGCTGAAAGTGTCCTCCCTGACATGGGTTATCTGGTCACCCTACTTACATATTTAATCAGCCTTACACTAATGCATGTAGATACTGTACATTAATGTTTCCTACATTCACGTTTAACCAGCACGCTTAATGTGCATTTCATGTTCGTCTGTTTGGTTCCAGTGACTTGCGTTTTGGATATCACTGGGCTAATTTCCTATTTTTCCAAGTGGACTCAACTATTTGTCCTACTGGACATTCCTAGCAGTATTTGCTGAGGACCAAAGTTAAAAGGGAATCGGAGACTGGGCCAATTTCCCCATGTGAGACCAGCCATCGTGATGATGTCATTGCCTTAAAGGCCTGCCTTGGTTACATGCACAGCGTCATTCACCAGTGGCAGTGCCTTTGATACACCCAGTGTAATGTCTGTCCATCCATTTCCAGAAACGGCTTATCCTGTTCAGGGTCACGAGGGGTCCGGAGCAGGGAACAACTCAGGATGGGGCGCCAACCCATCACAGGGCACATTCACACGCCATCCACTCACACCTATGGGCAATTTGGTAACTCCAATTAACCTCAGCAGGTTTTTGGATTGGGGTGGGGGGGGAAACCAGAGAACCCAGAGGAAACCCCATGACAACACAGGGGGCTATTGGGGAGACTCGAACCCTGGTCCCAGAGGAGTGAGGCAGCAGTGCTCACCACTGCACCACCATGAAGCAACTAGATAAATTAAAACCATATTTATACAACAGGAGCAGAGACCGCTGCAGAGCTTTTCCTTAATGATGTCAGCGACTCATTGTCTTTTTAATCAATTGCTACTGTGAGCTTAAAGGTTACTAACTGTGCCTTTGACACCCAGAGCCGGGCTGGCGATTTCTCACTGACCGCTGTGAAGGACAAAAGCATTTTCTACCAATTATTTGCACTGTATTTACAGTCCAGAAAAAGATGTAGCCATTGAGCTTTGAACACTTTGGTGACTCCAAAAAAAAAATTGCTTTTGTAACGTTTTCGATTTTAGCCATCTCGCCTTTATTCAGCCTTAACCAAACATCTCAGCCGCCATAAATGAACAGTGAATATGACCTTGCTGCAGAGATGATACCTGCATGCAGCTTTTAATGAAAATACTGCATGCAAAAGTCCTCAAAATTGTTTACTAATTGTAATTTTAACATGTAATTAATTGTACACATAAACAGAACCTGTTATCAGTGTAATAATATACAAAATATATGAACAAATAAAACAGCTACCAAAATTTTTGTGAATTTCAAAAGGTCTGGTCCCTCTGCCTGCGAGATTAAATGAATTAGATCATATGCAAAACACCTATGCAAGATTCATTATCGATTTCAGACAAAATGAGAGCTCAATCTTCCAAATACTGTATTTATCACAAAAAAAAAAGGCATTTGAGACTTTCAATCCAAAACAATCGCTGACACTCCAGCATCCTAAGAGAAAATTTCATGATCCTTCCACTGACTGATGACCTACAAATTCCAGCATTTAATCACACTTTAAATTACATAAATTGGACAATGATTTTGCAGGTTTGAGACAAGCCAGAATGGATCCTCAACATGATTTTTTAATGAAATATGCTTTATAACAGTGTTCATTATAAATATATACATGAACCAGAAAGAATGGTCTTAGTACTTCCTTGGTCGCAGCTGTGCTGTTACTCTGCTGCAGTAGCAAATCTGATATATTTACCTGCAGGGATTCCGATCATTTGTAATGGTACAATTTGATCACTATATCCATATGGCGTACAGGGTAAGACAAAAATGAAAACGAAATTATGCAAATTAATTTCTAGGCCAGCTCAGTGGTACCACTAACTGTCTGGGTTACGTCACTGCAGGGAGTCACTGCTCGTCATCCAAGTATGAGCTGCTAACTAAACCCTGTGTGGTCCACCGTGCGTACAGGCAGGCTGGCTATAAACTTGTTTAACAAATGATTTTATCCAAAGCGTCAAACGATTGAGAGATCAGCGTTAGCCGACCACGTGATTTGAACCGGCGGCCTTTCGCACGCACTCACACCCCTCACATTCCTGCTGCTGCAAGGTTCAGCTCAAACACTGACGCTGTATCTTGGCACAAGACGCGTATCCTAAATTGTACCTGTGGTTCCTGGGACAGGCTCCAGGTCCCCGAAGGCCATGTCCAGAATAGGGATTTGGAAGATGGGTGTAAGGATTTCAAGAGACAAAAGCAGGAGTAAATCTGATCAACCACAACACCACACACACCAATAAATAAAAACATAATTTAAAACAATTTATTTTACATATTAACAAATGAACACAATAAATCAATAAATGACAAAGAAACACCTCATACAACATGTTTTACATAGACCCAGTGCAACAAACATCATGCTACAACAAAAATCAGGTTAATTTAGGAATTTAGGAGATGCGTTGCACATTAAATATGCTTTTGTGAACTACTGTACATTCAAAGGGATTTGATACATGAAAATCATACAGATCCAGACCCAGACATCCAGTGCAGCAACAGAATGAACACAGACTGTAACCTCATTAAATTCCTTTCAGGGAATGAATGTGTGCTGAAATCCCTCACAGGCAATATACTGCACTCTAGGAATGACTATTGTTTTCCACTCAGGCTTTCTGCTTTATTGCAGCTCTTTTAAAAAAAATGTTAAAATCATGTCAGTATTAAAGAATTTAGAAATCTGCTGAAACCAAGATTACAAAAAAAAAATCAAGCAGCAATATTCAAATTAAACTCAAAACTTTATTTCTCATAAATGAATCAATGCAACAAAAATCAGCATAATGAAAAATCAAAAATGCAAATTAGTAACTGTTGAGCAGGGGTGTCAAACTCCAGTCCTGGGGGGCCGGAGCCCTGCATAGTTTTTGGTTTACCCTCCTTTAACATACCTGATTCAACTCCGTGTGCTAATTACCACACAGCTCTTGTGCTGAATCATTTGTGGTGGAACAGGGAAAGAGCTAAGCTACACAGGGCTCCGGCCCTCCAGGACTGGAGTTTGAGATGAGACCCCTGCTGTTGAGGATTGTTGTGGTTTTTTGCAATTTTTAACAGCAACATTTGATACTTAAGACTCGCGCCAAAAAGCTATTTAAGGTTTAGCCAAAATTTAACACATAGCGGACGGCTGCTCTCTGGGTAGAGGCTGCATCACCTACATGGCTGTGTGAGCTGCTCTGACTATGGCTGCCTGGGCTCTCTTAACAGCTGCCTCCAGCATGGATCGGTCACAGAAAAGCTGCCCGAGAGTCTTAGGCTCCATTTCCAGAAGCATTCCTGCCAGTAAAAAAAGGACGAAACACCAGAAAGTGATCAGCTACGCCATTACAATGTGGGGCAAGCGGCTTCCAGCCTTAGCACAAAGGAGAGTCATGTGACTGTCAGGTGACCTGTCTGTTCTGCTCCACAGTATAGATAAATCAATCAATATTTTGTTTTCCAGAAATTTGCACACCAGTTCTCTCTCCTCTTTGGCTTATTTTGTCCCACAAAACATTTGTTTTCTTTTCACATCCTTCAAAATGATACTTTTTGTGTTTAAAAATTATTCCAAGTTTACCCATACTGTATTATTTAGGAAAAGAAAACTCTTTTGAAATTATTCACAGTCAGCACAATCCTGTACTATGTAGTTCCTCACACACAGGTACTCAACCCATCAGACCTGACACAGTAAGTAGGAGGCCTGCTTGTTTGGAGTATTCCTCACACACGGGTACTCAACCCATCAGACCTGACACAGTAAGTAGGAGGCCTGCTTGGTGTCTTTGGACAGAAGCTCACTCACCTGTAATGTCAGCACAGTTTTTAGCGTCGATCTGTTGCACAATCGCAAAGAGCTTCTCTCCCATCCTGTCTATGTCATCAGGATCTGAGCAGTCGCTCACATCAGTTTCCGTAGAGTTCTGTCTATAAAAGCAACCATAGTTACAGCATTTGAAAAGCTTCTGATATTTTATATGTAGTAAAACATGCTATTAATCACCATGCTATTTATTTAAAGTAAGTTTGCTTTATATTGTAATTTTTTTCAGAAAGTCCAACTATTTTTCCCACAAAATCAAACCAGAGGATTTTTGTTCCAATTTTAGACCAAATCTTGAATGATCTCTATAATCTAAATACCACATACACTATACATTATCAGGCAGCATGTTTAATGATCAGACATGCAAAAATGATGTTAGAACGTACTCTTCCAGTGTCTTTAGTGCGACTTTAATCCCCTCTTCCAGAAGACCGGGGTCTGACAGGAGTTTCTGCACGTCCTTTTTCCTCTGTTCCAGTAACATGCCTGATCAAAGCACAATCAAGTGAAAATAGTAAATAATGTATCATCACTAAATGACGCCACATATGGAAGCTGATGACTACAAAGAACCGAGGGAGTAACAAGATAATACATTTTACAATGTTATTCCAACAAAGTTAGAAATGCATTTAGAAATGACAAAATTTTATTAATTACTACCGTTATTACAGTTAGTTGTTTCGTAATTTAATCTCTAAAATAGGAGAGGTACAACCTCCTCTATCTCTATGGACCAGCCACCTCGATTTTCCATGATAAATTTAAGATTAGATTCTAAGATTATGATGGTACATTAATATCATTGTGATCTATAACCAGCACGAGTACACAGGAAGCCTTAGGTTTGTGAATATCGCATCAGACAGTAAACAGATTACTGAGCAGAGCAGCCTGGGAACCTGCTCTCTGCCTTGGGCCACACTACACTCATACACACCTAGGGTTGCAAAATTCTAGGAATATTCTTGTTAATTCCCATACTTTCCCGTTAATTCCCATGGAAAGTTTCTAATGTGGAATATTTCCAAAATTCCCCAGCTTAACTTCCCATGGAACGGAAAGTTTCAGGAAAATTTCCAGAAATTTTCCAGCCCTTTGCAACCCTATACACACCTGTGATTTTCTCTGTGAAGCCGGTGTTGTGGGTGTCCACGAGCTCATAGAGCTGCTCGCCCAGAGAGTCTGAGGATGCTGACACTGCATCCTCTCCTTCAGCTTCCATCTTACTGCCCAGACATCAAAAGTAAAAGATTTAAAGATCAGCTTTGTAATACCCACCACTTTGTAGCTGGACAACATATGGAGAGAACTGATTAACTATTACGCAATCCATATTCCTAACAAACACCTTGTCAAAAATCATCCTTATAAAACTGTAACCGTAATCCTATAACCAACGATTCCTAATCTGGTATAATACAATAATTTGGATGAAATTGACGGAGGGCTGTGAAGCGCTTCTCCTGACCCACCCACCCGGTGTGCTTGGAAGGCTGCAGGGCACTGAGCGCTTTCTCCACAGCCGTGGCCAACATGGTCTCATCCTGCAGCATCTGTGCCAGCACAGAGCTGGGCAGCTCCAGTAACATTCCTGCAGGACCCGGGGGCAGGACTTACACCTACTACTCTTAACTCAAAATCAGCAGTAAAATAACAGTCTTGTCAGATGTTAATAATTGACTGCCATAAAATCACAATGTCACAATATGATACAATACTGCAACGCATCCGCGATCATTTCTGAGTCATAATTCCCTCTGCATATTCCCTCGGGGCAGAACACTGTCCATGGACATACCCGTAAGTTTTCCTGCCATGTTCGAATATCCGGGATAAATCAATTTATAGAGCCGTTCCCCCAGCTCCTCGACATCCTCTTCCTCTTCCATTATCAAACTGGTTTTCAGTCTTCTCTTTCGATATGATTATTCATTCTCTTCATTGCAAAAAAAAAAAAAATAACAATACAGGATATATTACTGCCCGTGTAACAAGAGTGCAACACTGCCATTAGATAATGGATAAGCGCAGTTCTTAACAGGAAGTACCTTTTAATGGAAATTTCGGCTCGGGTTTGTAAAGCTATGGGGAGAAGTGATAGGAAAATACAGGGGGCGACGCTTTATTAATAAAATGTGGCGTTTTTTACGTTTACTGCTTGCCAGCAGCAATATTTTTACATTCACATTTAAGGTATTTTATAAACGACGTTATTTCAATATATTCTTTCTTGATCTTACTTTCGATTGAAATAAGTAGACGTAGTTGTGTTAATATTTTAATTTTAATCGTTTTAGATTTCTATAGTGATGGAGATATGTCTTTATCCAAGGTACTTTTTTCAAAAGCAATGTAAAGATAAATAGTAAACACTATATACAATTGCTTACTTTACCAGCCAAAGCAGGATGAATAAGCTAATGTTTATATTTCTCAGAGATGTATAACGTTGCGGCAGGAGCTAAATACATTCAATAAAACATTATTCCTCCAGTGAATTAAGTCCTTATTTTATTCCTAGTCATCTGAATCTTAAACCTTAATACAGCCCTAGTACTCACTGTCCATGCCATTACTAGCTTGCTAACTCAGTCACACGAGTGCCTAAACTACCAAGTTAAAATAGTTATGCAATGGCCACGCGTCAATAAAGTAGCGGCTTACTATGTATGTGCATACATCCAACTAATCTCACAAAAAAAATCGACATTGTTGAGCTTCATTATCTTATTGTACTCGGTAGTGTTTATTTACCCGGCGCAAACTGATGACGCAATAAGACTTACCAGCCGCGGCACACACTTTACTGTCAATATCCATCCGAGATCATGCTTAAATAGTGCATAGCTTGTATGACAAATTCCCTTAAATTTCACATTTTTATTTATCATAAATATATGGATACAATACTGTATGTAAAACATAACAACACAATTAGAAGATTTTGAATTATATTACAAATATCAAGATTTTTTCTTATGCGCAAGGATCTTGGAAGCCCCATTGTAAAGTAGCTGCCTTCCGCTCCGTCTTTGTATTGCGGAAGGCAACGTGCTTCTGTTATGTGTTTATACTTTCCCCTCAACCTGTTGGTTCAAATAAATTACCGATTTTGTGGATTTGTAGCTAATTTTTCACCATCGTCCCTGACGAGGCACATTACCTGCATTGTGAGGGAGCGTCAGTCACGGCACTACGGCCATGTGGCGCGTTTCCCTGAGGGTGATCCGGCTCGCAGGATCCTCCGAGCGGCTGGATCAGGCCAAGGGGACGCCCATGTAGGCATGTAACACCTGGCTGCGGCAGATGGATGGCCATTTCCGGAGGGTGGCACTGGACCGTGTGTCTGCCTGGGGGGTCGCCAGGAGTTTCGCCGTGTGGTGGGTTCGGCGACGCGCTAAATCAGCTTATGCTCCCCAACTTGACCTGAGCTGACCTGGCCCTGACGACAGTCATTCAAGCCTGAAATGCTGATACCTAGGCACAAAACACATGAAGCATATAACGGGTTTCAAAATACACTGCTTAAAATCTTAAACAATGATTTAGCAGTCCCATACGCTTCGTTTGCTTATCTAAGCTGGTCTTACATACGTTTCTTTACGTTTTACAGAGACCTTATTTTCAGAGCGACTAATATGCATGTTCTCCCCTCATCCCGGTGTGTGCAAGCATGTCTTCTCACGTACAGAGGATGGTGATCTCAGCAGAACTTCCAGCTTTCTTATCAAGAGGAATCGGCCAACGTACTGTGCTGTGAGCCGCTTTCGGCAGCTTTTCGTCCTTCTCTAAATCGGATAATTTCCTTGCCAATCCTGTTATTAAACGTGCTATTTTTCATTATGATTGATTTTTGTTCATATAGTACTCCGTAATTTGTACAAAAGAAAAAGAAAGACATGTATAACGTGACACATGTAAAGAATTGCGTCGCATTGAGCAACAATACGGAAAAATGCAGTTTAAATTACCCACAAGGTGGCGCTTATTGCGCCCATATCGCTCATATCATCCTCGGCCCACGCACACCACTATTTACAGCGCGTAACATCAAACGCTATATGTGACATTACAACACAATGACACCACAATAGACGACGGCTGCACAAAGCTATTGACATTAATTGCTGGACTATCCGCGGCCCAGCCCGTCGCGCTCCCGCAGGGTCCTGCCCCTGTTACAGTTTTTCAAAGGAAGGAAGCAGTTGAGCTCTACTTATGCTTCGTCTGTGTTTTGTCACAAGGAACATAACAACCTGAAGTCCAGGAACTCCTTTAGTTTTAATGGAACAAACTGTTGCTTAATTATAATATAAATAAACTTTTAAATAAAGGTTAATGTGTTTGTTCTGAGCCAGTATCCCGCACACATGGCTCAGGAATGACTTTCAGGTCAGCGCAAGCCTGTCATTATATAAGAAGATCTGGCATGCCATCCAGAGCAGTCAGCGACACATCTGCAAGAACTGCTACCGGAAAGACTAGTGCATGGTGCGTGTCCAGTCACATGGCTGCAATTGACCAATTGACAGGAACATAGACTCTATGGGCAGAAGTACTGGGACAGCAGCCTGTCCAACATCTCACTGAATCAAATTGTATGAATATGAAGTTGCTTAACTTTTATTAGTTGCTATAGTAGCCTGTACTCTTCTGGGAAGGCTTTCCATTAGATACTGGGACAGCTGGTGGGATTTGTGGCCATTCAGGTGGGGTATTTATGCTGGGTTATCAGATCCCTTTCTGTGAGCTTCTGTGGCCCCCACCTTGCAGCTGAACTTGCTTCCAGATGTCACTTTATGTGCAGTTCACCAGGGCAGCTCTAGCAGGACAGCAATGTGGGAGAACCGACTTGATGGAGCAGTGTCCAGTGGTGTCCAGTGGTGTCCAGTGACAATGCCCAGCTGACGAGCCTCTTCTGTATGACCCATTCTGGCAGGGATGCCAACTTTGGTGAGCTGACTGGTGCGAGATTTTCAGTTTGAGACAAGTCTGTACACTGATTTATATTTATGTAACAGTTTTAGTAACTCTAAATGGTCTGTAGGGTTTGAAAACTATCCCAATGCTTTTGATGTAGCTCATTTTAGATTTATAATATATTAATTTAGATTTGCTGTAAGATTTCTTGCATGAGCATGAGAGTCTGAAAGTGTGAGTGTCACACCAGATGTGTGAGATTTGGCTCAAGTGACCAATTTCTGCAATTGCTACAGGTGTCCCAATACTTTTGTCCATACATTGTATATTAAGGGCGGCGCTAATACTGCTTTGAGTTTCATGTTCCAAGTTTTATGTGTCACATATACAAGTACTGTACAGGTGTGTAGTGAAGTGCTTTCAGGGAAAGATAATCAGGGGAAGAAAATTTGCAAATGATATTGTCCCGTTGTTTACAGGGCGTTTCAGCACTAAGATGGCGGTTTGCTGTGGGTGTTTCCGGGCGGCCTTGTGCTGTGCCAGTGCCGTTTTGAGAAGCCTGCGATGGTGAAGCAGAAGCGCAGCAGAGCTGCCAAAAGGGCATGAGCTGCATGCGAATGATGATGCAAGAAAGTCCCGTTAGAGCTTCACCCTCTGCTGCATGCGGTGGCCCTTCTCTGTCAATAAACACGACAAAGCCTGCTCCAGGCAGTGCGGGTAATTATAGGAAAAGTCAATGATTTACTGTCGGTATGGGTTTTCAACTAGGTTAAAGCCCTGTACTTCAAATCCAATTTTGGATTTTAAAATATTTAACCAGTGGCCGGATAATGAACTTCTCGTGAATGTGAATGAATTTCAGTTTGAGCTCTTGGAAGTTCAAATTTGACATGACTAATTAACGCGATATATCAGTTCTAGTGTTTACTGTTGGTGTAACACTAATGATGGGTTTCCCTCTTTGTTAACATCATAGTGAAGTCTGAGAGAGTCTGTGGCTCGTTTCTGCATTTCTTAACATCCTGATTAAGAGAATAAATTCATTGCCCTTGAAATAATGGCAGCTTGTGGCACGGTTGCGGTGAACTGCAGCTGTGTTCTGCGATGTAGGACAATGGGATTGATTTCTAGAAATATCTCACTGACGTCCCATCAGCTCAGGCCTCTGAGGCATCATTGCGTTGGTACATGTGCAGTGGCTTGTTTGTTTCAAAGTCCCCGGTGTGAAAGCCAGGGATTTAATGTGACTTCCTTCAAACATAGAAATATCAAATGCCACACAGAGTGCATTGAGAATTAGTGCGCCTACGCTTTGAAGGAACCACATAGGATGTGCATCATTCAACTAGCATTCACCTTATGGGTGGTGTCCACGTTTCCTAAATGTGGGGGCACCTTTGAACTGCAGGATACCATCCATGCTCTAATTGAAGAGAACATGCATCTACACGACCAGCTGGAGAACTTAACACAAGCTCTCCAGAAGTTTAAACAGCTGCTGTGGAATCACTCTGAAGGTGAGCTGCCTGCTTGTACGTTTCCTTTAGGTCTTTAACCAAAATCTCAGCATAATTACGTACACTGTCTTGAATGCAATGTTTTAATTAATTTAGTTATTGAATGATTGGCTATTGTAAATGGAATTAACGATTTATTTTTTGGAAAAAGATACCAGGAATGAGCATGACCCTGATTTACAGCGTCTGAGGAACGAATGGATGCAGCACGGTAAGTTCTTACATTTACATGACTTTTCCATCTTACCATCCATGGTGATATCAGTCATAAAAACAAATCTCTGCCGGATGTGCATATACTCACAGCAGTCATACAGAATATTACCATTAAGCTCAATTTTTGCTTCATTTTCCATTCAGTGTGCCATCTCTGTAGCACAGAATTCTTTTTATGTTTGTGATTATTTAATTCCTTCGCTTTTTATAATCACATTCATACTGTAAAAAAGTATTTTTTTAATGGTTTGATTTTGAAGTTTTGAAAAATGTCAAATTCACATTGAAAAACTAAATGCACATGCCCCTATCTGCCATTGAGCCCTTGTGCTGACAGGCGCAGCCTGAGTTTCTGTTGGTCGGCCATATCACCTGCCGGGGATTAAGCTGCCCAGTTCCTTTGCAGGTATAGGTGCAGAGACTCATCGCCTGTTGGAGCATGTCTTCTGTGAGCATGATCTCCACACTGCAGCCAGCTCATCACGGGCACATTCTGTCCTCCTCCTGATTGCGTTAATGTATTTAAGCTTTCTTTTGTTCTAATACCATTCGTATTGGCTTCTCATTGGTGTTCTGCAACGACCAACACAACCTGTAAAATGAACAGGCCGTGACATTTAAAATAAATGACATCGCTGTTGTATTATTAATTTGTATTATATTCCTAATTTCTGGAGAGCCTGTACTAGAAACAAGTACGGCGTACTAAATATTATTCAACCTTTTATCCTTGCCGAGGGACCTGTCACAGGCAGCATAGGGCACTGGGATGCACACTGGACAGGATTCCCGTCCATCACAAGGGACACATACATACACACATGCAGTCACACACCCTGCGCAGCTCGGAGATGCAGTTTAGCTTACAGGGATTAACCTGCAGACCACCAGGAGAACCTGACTAGATACAGAGACCCAAACCGCCCAGAACTCAAGGTGTGAGATGACAGTTCTACCCATTGAGCTGCACTACTCAAAACCTTATCTAAAACTAAACCAGTTCGCATTATTGCTGTTATTCTTAGAATGCTCAAATTCTTAAAATGATTTTCAGAACTACCAGCATATGCAATGAATGTGAAATTATACAATCATGTTTCACTATATAGTAAAAACAGTTACATGATTTAATGGCAATGTAGACGTCTTTGAAAATAAGTAAGGTTGGTGCAGTGGTGAGTTTGTTTGTCCTCCCTGTGTCATCATGGGGTTTCCTCCAGGTGCTCCAGCTTCCGCCACAGTCCAAAGATGAACTAGGGTTACCAAATTTCCCGTAGGTGTGAATGATGTGTTAAAGTGCCCTATGATGGGTTGGCGCCCCACCCTGGATTATAGCCTTGCACCATAGCCTCTGGGATGGGCTCTGGTCCCCCCCCCACACCGACCCTACCCGACCCTGAATAGGATAAGCAGCTATAGAAAAATGGATGTTTCACTGAAATGTGGTCCCGTTAAAAACCTTAAATATGACTGCCGTTTAATTAAAACTGTGGCTCCAGATTAATAAAAGCACATATGTGTAATACTATGGCTCATAAAGAAACTAGACAAAACGTTGTGCAAACAAATTTAATACGATGTTAAACAGACTATTTGTGAACAGCAGCTTTTAGACAGAAAGAAAATATTACAGTATAAAAAGATGTACAAAATACGGGCCTTGGTTCTTTTATTTGCAGTTTGACGATTCAAATTGACCAGACAGAGAAAATGTATATGACTGAAGAGTGTGATGTCCCTGTAGTTGCCATGGAAAACAAAGACACCAAGAATTATGCCAACGTGTAAAAACAGCTACAGGGAACGTCAGTGTAAAGCAAGTCAATTCCTGTCCAGTAACAAGTAGAATACAGGCTCAAGTAAAAAAAAAAAAAACGTCATTTCTTACTGCATCAAGAAGCGATGATTTGGTCCATCACTGAAACAGCCAAGGGGGCATCATACATGCAAGCCTGGATTTTTTGCGGTTTCCCTTGGTAGTTCATTTGTGACCATGGACCCTTTTCTAGCAATGATGCTACTGCTGGAAAGGACCGTGTACATATATACTAAAGCGGTGTTTCCCAACCCAGTCCTCAGGGATCCCCAGACAGTCCATGTTTTTGCTCCCTGCCAGACGGTCCACATTTTCGCTCCCTCCCAGCTCCCTAGCAAAAATGTGTACCGTCTGGCAGGGAGCAAAAACATGTACCGTCTGGGGTTCCACGAGGACCAGATGGGAAACACTGTGCTAAAACCATGCAGAAGTTAAAGTGGAAACTCCCCCCTCAGGCTGAAAACGATACTGCAACATAACATGCATGTTAGGTTAGCAAGTGCATTGGTTTGCAGTGTGCTACAATAATATTTGTGTGTGGTGGTTATAGATATTACTGGGAAAGGGGGGGGGATCTGTAGTTTCCAAAAATGTGTAAACAAGCTGCCTTTTGTTCCAGGAAACAGTAAATAGTTCATTTAAACTTGGTTATGTGTTACTTTTTTGATAAAGTAATATGAAACTGTTAGCTTAGCATAACCTGCCCAGAGGAATGCAGCACGGTTTGATCCACCTACTTCCAAAGAGTTTAAATCCATGCCGCCCACAACCTGCCTCCCTCCAGGCTACCAAAGGAAAGATCTGAAATAGTATCTGTACAGAACAGTAAGGCTGCTTGTGCATACACTGTGAAGGAAGTCTTTGCTGTTCACCATTCATATGATGGCTGAATGCATAAAATCATCAGATAAGCAACCTCAAACAAAACGTTAATAACTAAATGATAACCAAGACCAAAACAAGAGGTAAGAGAAAAATATGCTAACAAACAGTGGTGAACATGGAACAAAAGATTCACAATAATTTACTATCCGATTCTCCTTTAAACAGAAAAAAACCAAAAAGACCACGAGTCCTAACCCTTCTTGAATCTGTCCTATAGGTGAAGAATGGAACGACACAGGTTGACCTTTGGCCCGGGACACTTAAATATTCATGCAGCACTGAGGTGCACATTTTAGTTGGACTAGGTCGTTCAGAGCTTCGAGGGAAAAGGGACAGACGCTTCTAGGGGCTGAGTCATGTGGTACATCAGAGTAGGTGGTATTGGATGTTCTGAAAAGAACAGGGAGACATATCTATATTTTGATGGGGCTTGCTAATGCAGGCATGCATGAGGGGGGCAAGCTAGTCGATATCCAGGTCACTGTCATCCTCGTCGCTCTGGGAGTGCTGAGCGACGGCGGCGTCGCGGATGGTCGAGGGGATCATGGCCGCCTTGTCAGGCAGCAGCCCGTACTCCTGCAGCAGAGCCTCCACGTCGACGGCAAAGAAGTCGTCGCCCAGCTGGTCTGTGATGCGGACGAAGTTCCCGATGAGCTCGCCACCCCGGTACACCAGCAAGGCGGGGAGGGCGTTCCCCGTGAAGAGCGCGCTGGCACCCACGACGGAGCTGCGTGTGCGGCAGAACTTGACCAGGGGGTACTCCTGTGCCAGACAGAGCAGGCTGCCGTCCATGGCTTCGCAGCCGGGCACGTCCGCCTCATAGATGTGGATCATCACCGGAGTGGCCTTCCCCTCCTTGTCCACGGCGTCCAGGAACTCCTCGCCGCTGCTGAGCTCTGTCACGCGGCCGAAGCGTTTCCCACTGCACAGCTGACGCCTCATCTCGTCCATACGCTGTTTGCGGTACTGAGCCAGGAAGTCCTCGTCATCCACGTCCTCCCGGAGAAGGCTGTACTCCTGCAGGGTCATCTGGGGAGGAGGGCAGGAGTGCGTGTGAGACTGTGCAGGGCACCCCCTGATGGAAGCCCAGGCGGCACCGGACCTCACCTTGCCATTGATCTTCTCCTGGAGCTCCTTCTGCTTCTCCTTCTCGCGCTCGTCGTCCAGGTGCGAGCGGCACGTCATGGACAGCTTCTGAATGAGCCGCTCCATCTCCCTCTTCTGCTCCTGCCGCTGCTCCGTCTCCAGCTGCTTGTACTTCCTCCAGTCATTGATGACGCCTTTGGGCCCTGTGGTGGGACAAATTTACATTTGGCGGATGCTTTGTGCAAAGCAAAGTATGAGTGAGGCAAATGGCACATCATTAAAAACAAACGACTGTCAAGGATTTCTGCTTTCTGGACCTGAACTTTCCACCTCTGCTTCATGACCCTGAACTGGTTAAGCAAATACAGAAAGCTGGATAATTTACTTTACATAAGGATTCTCCATGAATAAGATTAATTAATGATAACACTTTACTTAACCTCCTGAGACCCCACCCATTCATTTATGTCCATTGTAGTAGACATTTTATTTTTGCATCTATTTTTTCACTGATGTAAGGAAACATATTTATTCCTGTTGTACACTAAAGAGGACATGCTGTGAAATTAAAAATAAAAATAAATTTGAAAAAATCTAAATTGTAAGATGTCTTATTTCCCCCCAAAGAAAAATAACCTAAAATTGAAGGACACATTTTTTCTTTGGGTCTCAGGAGGATATGACCATGTTTTTAGTAATTTATAAACACATTCATAATGCCTTATAATACATTCATGAAGCATTATAAACATGGCTATAAATATTTATAAAAGGCATAACATTATCGCCATGTTGCATTGTTATTTGTTTATAAATATTAAAAGTGTTACCTAATTATTTTGCCTTTAAGCAAATAAGGGTGAACTAGACTGGTTGCATAACCAAACCTGATCCAGAATAGACTCACTCAGGATAAGAGGCTGGACGATGGAAGGACAGTTGTCACTTCACGTTAGATAGTGGAAATACTTGTGTAAGAGGATCTCACTGAGATGAGCCATTTTGTACAGACAGACACAGCAGGCTGGCAGTGTGAGCTGTGGTTATACACGCCCTGCGCGACAGACGGGTGTCAGCAGAGTGTCAGGAATCAGTGGGCTGTGTAATACACAGCAATAACGTAACACAGCAAAGCCACAGAGAAAGAGGCACTCACCTGTGTTGATAGCGCTGCCATCCTGGGTATACTCTGCCTCCAGCACTTCTGCGTTACAGATGCTCTTGTCCTCCACAGCCTCGTCTTCCTTGTCGCTGTCCTCGTCCTCACTGCTGCTGTAATAATACTGCAGCTTCTCCCCCAACAGTTTGTCGTCCAGTGTCGTCATGGTAACCCACCTGCGGGAGCGACTATGAGTGGCAATGGGGGCTATTCTGAAGGGGTCAATCCCCATTTCTCCCTCAGAGATCATGCATCAGCTGCATGAAATGGTAAAGCAATGCACTTAGCTCTATAATAATCCTGTGCATTTGGCTCTATAATAATCCAATGCACTTGGTGCTGATAATCCGCCTGGAACGCTGCCCAAATGAAGGAGCAGCAGATGTACTGGTGCAGTCTCTCATAAAATGTATTCTTTCATGTAACTGAAATGACATTCATCTCAAAACACACGTGTGGTGCTATGCAATGCCCCCCTTGTTATACACATGGAGATACCTATAGATGCACACACAGGCTGATGAAAATGGCAGCAGCTCAAAGCCGAGGCCTCCCATCGGCTGCTTGTCGTGCATTTAGCGCAGTCAATCTCACTACACCAAAAACACTGCCATCCACCCATCCATCCATCCTCCAAACCGCTTATCAAAGCCACTAAAAAATATGGGTTACCAAATAATCCACCGAGACACATTTTATGTATGACGCATTTACCATCTATTATTACAGCCACCATTATCCGAATCAAATGTTTATGGGAGACTATATGAGCTCTCGGAGTAAAACCTGTAAAGACAGGAGCCATTACCCGGAAGTACGCTGCCAATTAACAACGCGTTACCATCACATCCAATAACCACGCATTGTACTGGCTTTAATACTGACAGGCGGATAGATTTATTAGGTATAGCAGCTTTGTTTACCCTAACTGATGTAAAGTACCACCACTAGCTACATGGTTAGTTATTCGGTACATAATTAACGTCCGAATAATAGCAAAAAAGCTAAATGCTTGATACATCTATCTTGCTAACTGAACAGTAAAACTGTTAATTTGGCAAATAGGTTTATATAGAATAGCGATATAGCAAGCTGTAGCGGTACATAATCTATACGGTAGGTGACTAGAAGTGGGACTAGATCATTATACGCAATGAACAGCTTAATCGTTTGCATAAACCAGTAGACAGAAGCTTTCGATGAACCGAGCAGGCAAGCCAAAATACGACAAATAAATGTTAATAAGTGTAAAATCAATATCATAGCAGTGAGTACCTCGTTTCCTGGCTGCCAAAAAGACGTCAGATTGCTCTCCCTTTCGTGATTATCGGTTAGTAAACAGTGAACGGCGGCTAACAGGCCGTGTTCACCGTGGTTTCACAATAAGCCTTAACCAATCAAAACACAAAACGGTAAGATTGGCAGAAGGGCAAACCAATGAATACAAACTTCCCGGAACATTTGCGGCGCAAAAGCTTTGCTGTACCGCAATAGGCTCCGCGTGACGTACGAGCATATCCGGTACGGATAGCCTTCCTGCAGAAATCTCCGTTATTTTTAAATAAAATTGAAATGTCTATTAAAATTAAATTTTCACGGAGTGTTTCCTCGTAGTATTGAGTTATTTTATGCTGAAAAAGCTCACGTATCAGCCAAAGAGCGGTCATTTTAAGTTTTAAATTATACTATCTTAATGACAATCTTTTATTTCGAAATAAGCCAGTATCCTAATGGAGCCAATTCAAGATTCAGGCTATTTCTTGTCATATGGGCAGTATCAACACAATGAAATTCTTAGTTTGATGACATCTCCAGATGCTGAGAAAAGGAAAACAAAACCAGAAAGCATAGCACAGTAGATAAGGATATTGAATATAGGGTACATATCCACCATAGGTAAAAATATTAAAGTAAAAAAAAAACAGCTATGTAAAATATACATACGTTTATATACAGAAATGTAAAACATACATATGGATTAACGTGCGGAACGCAGTGTGACAAGTTGGTATAGAAAATGGATGGATGGATGGATTGGTCGGTATTATGGTATCGCGGTATTTTCATCCGAAATAGACCAACCCTCGTTCGGCGGATTGTAAAATATGAATAATTCCTTCTTTATAGTCAGGATATATCATACGCAGTATAAAATTAAATCTCTCCAAACTCTAATTGTGCCCCCTCAGAATTTTGGCTTGCTTGACGCCCCTGAATTTAGCTGATTATAGCCTATTTTAAACTCACTTGTGTAAAAAGGATGAATTTGAAATGAAGGAGGGCAACTTAATCCCGTTGAAATATGTATTGTCATTCATCCACTGGGTGGCAGTAAGTTACTATTATCTCCGCGATTAGCTGTGTCATATTGCTATACTTTGCATCTGCATATTACTATATCTTGTATCTGTATTCATATTGTAATAGTGGGTCGTTGAGCCATATTCGCATTAATTAGCCAGCAGAGACAGTACCGGGTTTAAGCACCAGATGGCGTTTATTACACAAGTACGGGGGTCTCCAACTCCGGTCCTGGAGATCTACCGTCCAGTAGGTTTTCTATCCTACCTGGCTTCTGATGAGCCACACGTACCTGTTCTCAGGTAAATACCAGGAACTGGTGTGACTCATCAGAAGCCAAGTGGGACAGAAAACCTACTGGACAGTAGCTCTCCAGGACCGGAGTTGGAGACCCCTGCACCAGTATCACGGCAACAATACGCACTCGCGCCCGTATCACTGCTCGTTGCCCCGTTTACTCTCTCTATATATAAAGACAGAAATATATAAAGGCAAACATAATATGACCATAATCGTCATAGTTAGAAATGGTCTCTACCCAGACGACGTCCTGAGGAAATTCCTGGAAAGACATGAATTAGAACACAGACACACGCCCTGTAACAGGCAGCTAGAAAATGTTCACTTTGCGATGTGAAAGTTTAAAAATTTCATTTAAATATAAAATAAAATCCTTATTTTAATCTCTTCTGTTTGTAATAAAGGACCTATTGTATCCTGTTTGTCTGGGTGAGCCTTAGGTTTCCTGATTTTGGTTGTTTTCCAATAAACAGCGGAGGTCTCCCAGGAGGGATTGTGTTCAGCTGCAGTGGTGTTCTGAGAGGAGCCTCACAAAGTGGCCGCTCTGTGACCTTCTTCCCATCAGGGAAGGTGACAAACAGAAATATTGTTTTAGTGGAGTGATTTTCCTCTAGAGTTTTGTTTTCCAATATATGTTTTTTTAATTAATCTCAGAGGCAAAAAGAAACTTATTTACACAGCATGTAGTTAGAGTATGGAATGGTCTTCCTGTTAGTGTAGTGCAAGCTAAAACCCTGGGTTCTTTGAAATCAGAGCTAGATAAGATTTTAAAAAGCTATTAGCTGAATTCTCCCCAAGAGAGCTTGATGGGCCAAATGGCCTCCTCTTCCTTGTAATATTTTTATGTTCCTATTTCTCATGTTCTAAACAGGAAAGGCTGGCAGAGCAGAGATTTTCTATCACATTTCTGCACCCCAGGTTTATGAATACGTGGCATGTATTATGTAAGTTATGCAAAAAAAAAATTAACAATGGGACAAGCATGGATATTCTGTTGATCAAAACAGTAATAATTTCTATAAAGACCTTGGTCTGTATTGATTTACACAAAAGAGCAAAAATTCTTGTAACAAATTCAATGCAATGGACATCGGGTGATTGAGTCCCACAACTTTGGATATCTGTGAACAGGAACTGAGCTGATTTCCGGCCATCTGCCAGTGACAATATCTCATTGGTTGAGCATTCTAGGAGAGGCTTACGAGCGTTTTTCTTCATTGGTCTTCTCTCCTTGATGTATTTCTCTTGATGATGTAATGGTCATCACCCAAAATATGTTACATTTCCAGTGTGATAAACCCTTCATGAGGTATTTCACAAGTGCAGCCCACACAAGCCAAGCTTTTATTCTTGCCCAGTTTTGGCTGTAATCTGTCTAAATATCAGCAGTCTATGTTACAACGTCATTTTCAGAGAAGGCCTTGTATTTTTCCGCAAAACCACATTCTGTGCATATTACAACAGCATGGCTCCATAGTAGAAGATTCTAGGCTGGCCTGCCTGCAGTCCAGACCTGTCACCCACTGAAAACATTTGACACATCATGAAACGAAAAATATGACAAAGGAGACCCTGAACTGTTGAAATCAGGCAAGAATGGGACAGCATTTCACTTTAAAAACTCCAGCAACTGGTCTCCTCAGTCCCCAAACATTTACAGCGTGTTGTTAAAAGAAGAGATGATGCAAGACAGTAGTAAACATGCCCCTGTCCCAACCTTTTTGAAACGTGTTGCTAGCATCAAATTCAAATTGCCCATATTTTTGTCATAAAACAAAAAAAAATTAAGTTTCAACATTTGATATGTTGTCTTTGTTCTATTTTCAATTAAATTTGGGGTTATATGATTTGTAAATCATTGCATATCAACTTGGCAGACATTGTATGTGACAAGTGTTTATCATGCCCTCAGTTCACAATAAATTATGCAGACTACAGATCAATATAAGCTTGAAACTAGCTCTTTTAATAACAAGCACTAGTAAACCAGTAAACTAAACTAATAAGTTGTAAAGTAAACTGATCTCTGAAGCCAAGCTTGTCCATTTAAAACAGTTTTATTTAAAAAATGTAAAAATGTAAATATGTAAAGTTACAGTATTTTTTTCCCGATAAGCTATAACTCAGTCTGCTGCTTGGGTTCGTTTTGCTGCTGGTCATCATTAGCTGCTGGAACGTGGAACGATACATAAGGGCACTTCTTGGTGTTGAGACAGACCAACTTCTCCAGGCTGGCAGATTTCACAATGTCAAATCCCGTCTGCCCACCAAAGGTGCTGGGCTTCCAGTATTCCGGGGAGCATACGGGGTTTCCCAAGAGCCCCTTCAAGGAGAACGGAGATCCCATCTCCACCATGCTCTGGCCAAATATTGCCCCAGGTCGCGTCTTCTCCAGCAGCAGAGCAGGGTAGAACTCCAGGGCGTCGATGTCGCCATAGAGTTCCTCCAGCTCCCGAGCCATGATCTTCTCACCTGCCAAACAGGAGCAGTCAGGAACACAGAATGAAAAGGACATTCCTGAGGAGAAACCCCCACTATGTCAGTTATTGCCAAGTTCTGGTGCTAAGCCAAAGATCATGGGACTACTTAACAGCAAAAGGGTAGCAAAACACTTTTGATTAATTATTCCTGTCATCTCCAGCTCTGGAGAAGGAACAACTGCCTAATGCAGCTGGGAAAGGAGCATTTTACTGAACGGAAACAGTGACGAGACAACATCCAATTCCCACGTATTATCCCAACAAGAAGGTTTCCTGCCAAGTCCCTACTACTGTGGTTTCTCGACACCCAGGTTCAGAACAGTAATTTATGTATAAGCACATAGTTTATGAGGATTGACTGAGGATGTCACAATCAAGTTGCATTCGTCCTCAGATGGAGCAAACTTATTCCACTACAGTCAATAGGTTCTCCCATGTAATCTCTTACCAGTAAACTCCTCAAAGGATGTGTATGGCTTCAGCTTGAACCTCTTCCTATACTGGTTGAAGGACTGGAAACGTAAGTGTCTGGACTCTTTAATGGTGCTCACAGCCACCTTGGCCGTCACCTGGTGGATATTGTGACCACCACCTATCTGCAACACATGGTGTAGAGAACAACAATGCTGCGGTTCACTGGAATACAGCTCGAAGGTGTCAACAGGGGGCAATGAAGAGTTTAGAGAGCACAGCTGCCTACATCTGTCAGGTCTGACAGAGTCAAACATCTTTACTTGGTCTATCACACACAAGAGGAACATTATCATTGCTGAGATACTTACAGCATGAGGTGTTTAAGTCCTTGCTTTAACCCTTTAAAATCAAGACCAAAGAAAATGTCCCAACTACCGGAAATGTTGCAATGCCTTTGGTCTGCTAGCAATTTGTAGTCACTAAGTATATTTATTTTCTTTAATGCTTTAGAACATTGAATACCGTGTAAATATGATTCATCTAAATATTTTCAAAGCACAAAATCCTTATCAGTCCTGACAAAAACATGCCGTCCTATAGAAGTAAAAGATTAACCTTCTTACAACACAGAATATATTTCAGTGTATCCATTCAGCATCTCACATTATCAGATGCAGAGTAGATAGATACCAGAAATGTTGCTAGTTCTTGCGTATCTAAACAAGTATTCCAAGCAAAGGAAAGTGTTTAGCATATCTTTTTCCAGATGTTGAGAAGGCACAGATATTTGGCATCAGTTCTGAAAACATGAAGACTGAAATACTTTGTTACTTTTTACTCAC